CACTGTAAGAACTTGGTCTTCAATTCTTGCAATTTAACCTATTTCCAAAAGTTCATTTCATATTGAAGTAAGGAATCATAATCATTTTTTTTATTGATTAGGAAGATTCTAGAAGCTGTATTAAAAAATATCCTAGAGAAGATGTGGTTGAGTTTTACCCAACAAAGGTCCTGTCTGTTAGTGTTTCCTCTGTTCCAATTATCACAAAGGTATTAATATATTTAATGATTACAACTCTATTTCCCAGACTGATTACGAGAATTTTAAAGTCAAATAAAAAATAATACACAGTTCCTTTTAAATTTCAGAGTGGCCTACTTCTGATTTTTAACATTATAATATTTAGTTTTAACACAGAGTAATAATCCAAAAATAAAACATTTTGACACTATGAAGAATATAACAACCACATTAACAACTTCTCTATAAAATAGTTCTGTGAAAACAATGGCAAATGATTATCTTGTTTTAGTCACCAAATAACTATGTTGCTACTATTGTTAATAAAAAAAAAAAGTGAATTCAAAACTGTGGCCCATGGTTGCTTGTTATATTTTAGATAACTGGAATCAGAGCACCCTTCCACCTCACAGAGGTTGTGCAAGTGGCAAAGCACCTTCACTCACTATGGAAGCCTAAGAATCAAACACTCTTTCACTCCATCAAAGTAATCATATCATCCCACTCAGGGCTTTAAGAGCTAAGTTAAAAACCTAAACTGACCCAATAACACAAGCGGGTGTCTAGCAATGATAGTGCATCCATATTCATTTATCTGTTCATTCAATGCTTTCTGAACATCCACTATATGCTTGCCATTTATCCATTCATTCAGCAATTTTAATAATGATTCTACATTTGGCCCTTAGGTCTGATAAAGAGAAATATCATAACCAAACTTTTCTCAGTGCTCCTTTCTGTCTTCCTTAGATTTTTGACATTTGTAGAGCTTTGTTTTCAACTCTGCAAGGCCAAATCCACTCAAGAATTCATTGACTTAATGGATTACTAATTGAATCTGTTTGAGGCCATAAAACTGGCCCATACACAATGACCAAGATTTACACTGGAAATTGCATTGTGTTCTTCCACATAAAAATTAAGATTGTAATAGCATTTGTATAATTCCATAGGTCCAAAAGTTCTAGGGTGTACACCAATTCAGCCCCAGAATAAACTCTGAACTGTTAGGTCTCGTTGGAAAGCAATGCTTAAGATTACCTGGGGAGCATCATCCTGTCCTGCACAAAGACCTACAACTCAGAAGATCCAATACCTGCTCCCGTATATTCCATTCCACACCCATTACTTCCTTATGGCTTTGGAGTCACAGACTACAAATTTGTAGCGTGCCCTACCTTTTATGCACATACAAATCAAAAGTATCTATTGTCATCACAAGTTGCCTAACTTCTGTACCTTAACAGATTATCTCTATTTGTTTTGAACCTTGTTGCACATCTTCACTTGAACACAATGAAATAAAGGAAAGGCAAGGGAAAAAAAGTCAATTCATTAGATTATCTTGTTCAACCAACCATTTACATTTTGAAGGGAATAATTCTAATGACTTTCTATATCTTTGCAAATATGGCAGAACTATTTTAGAAACAAATCAGAAGAAATCACAAGTAGAATAACATTGTTATGCAAAACTGAAAAATGTGTTGCTGCAATGAGTGAAGTTTAGAAGGAGGGTATAGAAGTATTCAAGAGTGATTTCTTCATTCTGTCATCTTCTTTCCCTCAACATGAGTAAATGCACAGAACAAAGCATTTAAAAATACCTGAATTTTATCAGAGTTAAGAGTAAAACAAGATAAAACAAGGGGGCCCACAGACAAACTGGTTTAGTGTGCTGTACGTATTGGCAAGCACGGGAACCAGGGCACGGGGCAGGCCTGGTGGGGGTTGTTGTGGATGGCTCTGACTAGGCTGCAGCTTCCGCTGGTTTATGTGAGGGCCGAGTGTGTGCTGGGCAGAATCAGGCTGGACTGCAACACCCATTGGTTCCAGCAGAAAACAGCACTGGAAACAGAACCGACCCAGCAACTGCAGCCACCAGCTGATGGGGACGATGGTCTGTGCCAGGCCCTGTACTTGCAAGAACACACACCAGAATCTGGTCTGGAATCACCTCAGATAAAGTTTCTTTTGGGATCTCCCCAATCGAACTGCCGGACTCAGAACCCTAACCATGAAGAAAAGTGCAGGTTCCATGGTCTGCCACGGAGTGCAAGTGTCAAGCTGAGCCTCCTCAGAGGCTCAGAGAGAGCAGTGAACAGCATAACCAAGTGTACGTGGAGGATATGGCAGCCTATCGGAACCTGCAGAGGACACCTGGCACCACAACTGTGGCCAAAACAAATCAATCAACTACCCCAGCCATATGTTGGCAGTGAAAAACTGGGCAAACGGAGACTCTAAGGTGGACTATGTCAATCAATGGGTTCTGCAGTGTTTTCATTGTGCTTGGAATGGTGAGATTGGCAGCAATTCATAATTGTCGAACTATCAAAACCATTTGAGCAAGACCCTCAGAGCATGTCACCTTGGGGACCTGGAATGGGTGGGAGGCTGGGTGGGGCTTCTCCCTTTATGTCTCTCTTTACCCTAGATACACACACACAAATGTGGAAATAATAGTCTTACCCACTTTCCTGTAGCCCTTGAATCTTTGTGCCCTAATTAACTATGTAAAGATTGTCAAAAATAAAGAAAAAAAAAAGAGGGCCCTCACGCATGGAATGTAAGTGGAGAACTTAACACATCTTTTTGATAACAGAGTTCTATGTATTATATATATATGTGTTTATACTTTGGTATCAGTGTTGGAGATCTGGATCTCCTGGCATCAGTGGCTAAGCCGGTAAAAATGTAATTACCCAAGGCTCCTTTCAGAGAATTTAATTCTGCATGCCTGTGCATCTTAGTGCTCCTGCACATGGCTATCTCAGGTCAAACGCCTACTTCTTTTTTTTTTAAAGATTTATTTTTATTATTTCTTCATTGGAAAGGCAGATATACAGAGAGGAGAGACAGAGAGGAAGATCTTCCGTCCGATGATTCACTCCCCAAGTGAGTGCAACGGGCCGATACTATGCCGATCCGAAGCCAGGAGCCTCTTCCGGGTCTCCCACGCGGGTGCAGGGTCCCAAAGCTTTGGGCCGTCCTCAACTGCTTTCCCAGGCCACAGGCAGGGAGCTGGAAGGGAAGCGGGGCTGCCGGGATAAGAACCGGCGCCCATATGGGATCCCGGGCGTGCTAGGCGAGGACCTTTAACCACTTGCGCCACCGCGCCGGGCCCCAAACGCCTACTTCTTAGCTAGGTTCCCATAGCCGTCCTGTTTAACATTGCTCTCCTACATTCACCCACCAACACATCACTTTATTTGTTTGCCTTCCTGTGCTTGACATTACCTGGCTTAAAAAAAAAAAATTGTTTTATTTACCTTTGTATCCATTGTCTCTCCAAGCAAGGAGAGCAAAAAGATAACTGGTTTGTTCACTAGTTTCAACTAGACTCTCAGTAAATCTCAGTTGAATGGATTTTAACATGGTAAGTCTCTGTTCCATTGAAGATGTGGCTTGGGATTTAATACTCCGAGGTGGGGATTTTTAAATGCCAGCTAGAAAGAGATGAGAGAGAATTGCAATGACTCAGGTTCCCTGTCCCACTTATGCTATGTCCTCTGCTTAGTACTAAGTGCAGTCATCCAAGTTTTGATGAGATGCATTATTAAATATTAAGTGTGTGATTATTCAATCATCTATCTTGCAGTGGTGAAGGAGCAGGGTATAGTTGCAGTCTCTCTCTCTCTCTCTCTCTCTCTAGTTATAATGGCATAGTTACAATAAAAGAGTAACTAGGAGCTACACCTGCTAAGCCAGTTAAGTAAATAAGTAGCCTGGAATCAAATAAAACTCCTTTTCAGATCCTGCTGTGGGCACTGGCCTGGTGTTTCCAGGTCCCCGTTGCACTGGACACCTGAAGTCTGGCCAGATGCACAGGTTGCCAAGCTGGACTGGGAATCTGGAAACTTTGTTTTCACATGAATGTTTCTTAAAGAAACCTTCCATCCAAACAGAGGCAACCAATACCTACAACAGAGCAAAACTGAAAGAACAGGCAACAGTGTGTCTAATGCTTGTCTTTCACAGATCAGGATACACTTGAAATATTGGGATGATGACAATATTCCTGCAAACATACAAAAGCTGCACAAGATCATGAAAATGTTCCCTGAAAAAGCTGAGTACAAGCATGATGTTGGTATCAGCTTGGGAAGTACAAATGCATAGTCACATGTACACGGTTTAGTCACAGCGAACAGAAATAGGGGATTTACTCCTAAGACTCTTGAACAATTAAGTCCTGGGCATGTAGAACAAAAAGGAGCTACTGACATTTAAAAATAAAATGGGGAGCTTAAAATGTTTTAATCATACTCTCATTTTAATATCACCAGATTAGCTAGTCTCAGGAATTTAAAGAACTCTACAATTACTTTTCAAACACTAGAATCTCAAGTTATGAAAGATAACACACACGCACAGCCAGGTTTCATTTTGAAATTCTTTATGTGTTTTCCCATAGCATTATCATGAACTTATTTGATAGCACCCTCAGGTTCTCTGGCTAAAGGTTTGCTGGTAGGTGGACAAATTCTCTCAGTGAAGAGTAACTGAAGTGGATATACTTGGAAGAACTAATGAAAACATATACAGAGTACCTCCAAACCAACAGTGAGTCTCCCACTTCTCAGGAGTTCTGGTTCCCAACGGGTTTTCTAGGACCCTGCGGGTCAGGAACAGCTAAACCCAGACCACAGTGTCCTGTCTGTAATCACCCGTTATGCCACAGGAGGACTGCAGAAGGTAAGGGTATGTTTTTACCACCACAGGGATCAGCACTTTATGAGACAAAAAGCAATGGCTTGAATGTTTGAAAAAGGACAAGTTAAGTCGACATTGCATTATTTGCAGTGTGGCAGATTTACCTGTCAATGATATGTTATGAATCTCCAAGGAAAGATTAGAGTACTTTGCCATCATTTCTTCTCGCACAGGTAGACTGGTAAAATCTGCATCTGTAAGAACAAGAACATGTGATTACATATTCTTGCTGAAACTAACGACCTGACAGTTTATAATAGCTTAAAAAAATACCATTGGTTAGTCAGAACAGAACAGTCTTCCAGGGTGCTTTCTGCTTTATTTTCAAACATGTATTTTAAAATGCATGGGTCTAGCGAAGATGACCAAATTTCTCATTTTCTTAGCCAGAAAAAAAAAAAATCAATGACTCACATCAGTAAGTTTCATTCACCAAAGAAGTTCCATTTTCTGAAGTGGTGTCACAGTGTTGGAAGCTAAGCTTCCAGCAGTGATGCCAACATTCTGTTTAGGTGCTGGATGGAGTCTTAGCTGCTTTACTTCTGATCCTGCTCCCTGCTTACGGCCTGGGAAAGCAGCAGAGGATGACTCAAATCCTTGAACTCCTGCACCTATGTGAGAGACCCTGAAGAAGCTTCTAGCTTCAGATCAGCTCAGCTATAGCCACTGAAGCCATGTGGGGAGTGAACCAGCAGATGAAGGATCTCTCTGTCTGTCTCTCCTTCTAGCTGTAAAATCTGCCATTGAAAAGGCAAAGAGACAAGTTCAGGGGTCAGAGAGGGATCAGCAGACAATAATGGAACAGTGAGCATGGTAGTGCCCGGGGACAAGGCACACAGCATGGCCGTGCAGCACACTGCACCTCCATTTGTTTTCCAGCTATGATTACGGTTCAGGCCGGTTTGTAACTGATTTTTTTATTTCCGATCACTTTTGTCTTCTGTTGAGATTTTCATTAATGAAGTAAGGTTTCACTTTCAACCAATCACTCTTTTCCAAGATTTTTCTGACATAGCCTACTATCCTCTCATGTTGGAATCCAGACCCTAACATCCTAGAAAATGAGCCGCATGCTATCAAAGAAATCAGAGGGGTGGAGAGGCAGTGCTAGAATATACAAGCTGATGTGGCCAGTTGAAATACTGAAAGTACAATCAGGCAGCCATAAAGCCAGCAGCACCTGGACCGTTAAAGCATGAATACTCATCATTCTCTCATCTCAGCCAAACGAATCCCAAGAGTAAAAAAAGAAGACAAATAATTTCTGATTTCTGCTTTGGAAAGTCCCACTAAGAGACCAGATACACAAATTCTCAGAGTGGAAAGCAGGTAGTCTACAGACGCTATTAAAACAGAAACAGAGATAAGTTCTTTGTTTAGACATTTTTTAGTCAAAAAAATAAGAATATAAACCTTACTGTTGCTAGCAGAAGAACTGGCAGGAGGCTCATTCAACTAATGTTGGTGTTTAAAAGAAGTTGGCAAGAGAACAGGCAGATGTGGTTTGAGCACTTCCCTGAATGAATGAGGCTGAATCACACACACAGAGAGAGAGAGAGAGAGAGAGAATAAAACAAAAGGGGCAGGAATTTACAGAAATTTTGTGTCCTAACCCAAGTTCTTCCACAGGCTTGCTACTTCAGAGTTTCAAAATGTGATAAACTTAGCTCGGTACTTTGACAATAAGGCTCTACCATTAAACTTAACTTCACAGGCAAAACAAGGAACATCAGAAAATCTGTACAGACATTGAGGGAGAGTGCCAAGCCCATGACATTCATTTCTGAAGCTGTCACAATCATTTCTTTCTTAATCAGCGTGGGAAGTGTTCCACCTGGCATTCTTCTATCGGTAACTGCCAAAATAAAACAGTAACATCTAATAGTCATTCCAGAGATTAAAAGATTTTTTTTGTTCCTCCTTTTACAGGAGAGTTGAGACATGACAGTATTGCATTAAAGTTCTGTAGAGCATCTTAATTTTCATCTATGACTTCATGCAAAATATCAGAACAGGCTCTGCTCAGATACTGTTCAGATATTACCAAAATGTGTACATTATGCTATAAACACTTTCAGACGAAATAACTATGTCATCATTTTTTCTTTTTTTAAAGATTTATTTATTTTTATTGGAAAGGCAGATATACAGAGAGGATGAGAGACAGAGATCTTCTATCCAATGGTTCACTCCCCAAGCAGCAGCAACGGCTGGTGCTGAGCCAATCCAAAGACAGGAACCTGGAGCTTCCTCCAGATCGCCCACGTGGATGCAGGGTCCTAAAGCTTTGGGCTGTCCTCGACTCTATTCCCAGGTCACAGGCAGGGAGCTGGATTGGAAGTGGGGCCGCCGAATTAGAACCGGCGTCCATATGGGATCCCGGTACGTCCAAGGTGAGAACTTTAACTTCTACACTACCGTGCCGGGCCCATATGTTATCATTTCTACCTGAAACATTAAGGTCACATTTTTTAAATATTTAATTTTGATCTTCATTTAGTTGAAATAAATGGAGAAAGGAAAAAGTGTAAGGAAGAGTAGACAATGGCATTAGCTTTTAATATTGGTTTTTATTTAAATTTAAAAAAAAGTTGAATGACATCTCAGATGAGGAGCAAAGATCCTAAATCCTCCAAAATCTCTTTCCTCCATGTTAAACTCTTTCAAGTGTCTGGGTTTTTGCTTAGAAAAATGTTTCAAATTCAAACATAGTTAAAATAAGTATTTTTCACTTTTGCTTCAGTTGCTTTTATATGTATAGTTAAAACTATTTAATCTGCACTTTAATATTCTGGCATATATCATTATCAACATGCAAACAGACTACAGAAATATTATATCTTGATAATTGATAATACATGCTATTCTTAAATCAGAAGTTTGGAAATTAGAATATATCTCCTAATAGAACCAAGATGACATAAAACCAAGACATCCCAAAAACAAATAGTAATCCTTTATGTTATTATATCAATAAATAATACCTTTATTTATTTTTAAAATAAATTTTAATTTTTAACAATGATTACATGGTTGTTCAGGGTTTGAAGGATTGAGGCTTAAGGAAAATTGGGTGAATTCATTGCTCCAAATTTGCTATTTCTTCTTCTTGTTCTTGAGAGAAAGGGAGAAACCTAACTATCAAATAAAATACTGCATGTAAATGCAATTCAAGATTTATATGTGGATTCCAGGAACACAATATTCCGATCCACCATCCATAACTGCATTAATAGAAGGATATCAAATAAGGATAAGGTTACTTTGATGTCTAGATACTAGATTCGTAAGTTTGTTACAAATAGAAGAAAAGGGAAAGAAACTTTGTAAGAAACGCTACATTCTCCTGATGCGGGCATGTGTAGGCTAGCTTTCATAAGGCAGGGAGAGATAAACGCTAGATGGGAAGCTGATTCAATGTGTTTAGATAACATGAGATGAACAGACACTGATGATCTTACATCAGAGAATCTGGGGCGTAGTCCTGACTAAACTCCCTCTCCCATCTTTCTGTGATCTTGTACCCTGTGAGGCAGCAGCTGCTACTAAAGGACTTGGGTTTCTGCTGCCACATGAGAGACTGAATTCCAACTTCCAGCTTCACCCTGGTAGTTGGGAGCATTTGAGCAGTTTAAACCAACGGCTAGGAGACCTCTGTCTCTGCATTTTAAACAAAATGAAAAGAAATAAATAATTGTGATTTTTGTAAGAGTAAATACAGTTTTTGCAACAAAATGATTCACAGTGAACAGTGAGGAAACGTTGACGTTTCAAATACCTTGTACAAGAGTCATTAACAGAAGTTTCTAGTAAAATTTAACACCAAACAAAACTCTTGTAAAAAGTAAAAACTTAAAAGATGAACTGGGGATCCTGTTGTTTATACAGGCTGGATTTTTTTAAAAAAATGTTTCATTTGTTATGTTATTCTTTGATAAGAATTAGATGTGTATGGTGGTTCTCACCTGGGGGTGATTTTTATCCCACAGAGACCATTTGACAATGTCTGGAGATATGTTGATTGTCACACACGGACTAAGCTTACAATTTTTATTTTGTAGGTTATATTACTTTTCATAAAAATTTGGCATAGTAGGTGCCAGGAAAAATTGGCACGGATTTGACAGCTTGGACCAACAAATGTTGGAAGAGGCGTTTTGTGCAGAAGTTAACAAGTGCACTTTCCTCTTTGAAGTGCCTGAGTTAGAGCTCAGGCTCAACCTTTGACCCAGCTTCTTGGACATGTGCTTTCTGGGAGACAGCTAATTACAGGCTCAAGTATGTGGGTGCCTGCCGCCGCGTGGGAGACTAAATGGAGTTCTGGGCTTCCGGATTCATCTTGGCCCAGCCCTGGTTGTTGAGGGCCTGTAAGGAGTGAAGCAATGGTTGTAAGGTCTTTTTCTTATTCTCTCCTTTCCTCTCTTTTTTCATCACTCTTCTCTCTGTTACACTGCCTTTCAAATAAACAAGAATAATTTATTTAAAAAATTGCATATGTGTTATTATTTTATGGTGGTAGAAAGTGGAAGTCTGAAATCAAGCACAGTAGGGCCATACTCCCATTGCAAGCCCCAGGAAAGACTCTTCCTTGTTGCTTTCTAGCGCTTGGCACGCTTGGTTGACAGCTACGTCGCTCCAGTCCCTGCCACTGTTGTGATGTGAGCATCTTCTCTCTGTGTGATGTGTTTCTGTGCCAGAATGTCCATCTCTCTCTTTTCATAAAGACCAGAGTCATGAAGTTGAGGGTGTGCAATTTATCTTAATCTAGTAGTAATTCATTTTGGCTTTTAACATCTGCAAACACCTCTCCAGAAGGGTCACTTTCACAAGCGCTGCAATTTCAGAGTTAGACTTATCTTTTAGAGTGCACAGTTCATTTATGACTTATGTAGGGACCAGGGAGACTACTAAACATTCTACAATGCCAACCCTACCGCCAGCATATACAGAAAAGAATTATCCAGTCCAAATGGTCATTCTGGCCAAGATCAAGAGATCCTGCTTCTAAACACATTTTCTCAACCTACTCACTTCAACATGATGATTTTCAATAATCTTGAAATAATTCTATGGCCTTGTGATCCCATACTAAGTAGTTTACCTGAAGGTATTTTATGCCATGAGTATTTCTTGCCACAGCACCTGCTAATCAACTCCCTCCCACCATGAGTCATTCTTGAGGACTTTTTAGGAA